ATATATTATATACTATCTTGAAAAGTATTTTTTTTACAATATGTTTTAACAATTACGGTACATGTTCCAAAAATTATTTTTTGATAATATTAAAATAATTGATTGTACTTTGAAAATTCATGACATGCAGTCATGTTGAAAAATCAACAGAGACAATTTCAAAAAAAAAAGTAATATAAATAATAATAATAAAGATGAAATGAAAAAATAAAATTTAAAGAATTATAAAATTGATAATATAAAATAATATTTAAAAAATAATTAGTGTATGAACTCGTGCAAAACTAAAAAAAAGGGAAATAATAAAATATATTGTAATAAAAAATTAAAGTAAATATAAAATTGAAAAACTATGAAAAGAGATAATTCCTAAGTGATAAACATTTAAAATTGAGATGTGAAACAAATAAAATGTTGCATATTCTTTGAGCTAAAAAATTTTAAAAGACCTCTAAAAAAATTAAAAGAAAAAGAGTAAAGATAGTATCATAAAGGCGTGTATATATACATAAAACATACGTTGAATGAAATTTGTTTCTATTATTGGTATGATGATACACTACTATGCAGTGTTATAGATATTGAATCGATTTTAACAATGATTTGATGGTTTGAAAGTTAAAATCGATTAACATGATTTAAAATAAAAAATAAAAATAAAATTATAACGTGTTGTGATTATTTAGTCTAGTGGTAAGTGTGGTTTCTCTTAAATTGAGGGATGGATCGAAACAACGTTCAAAGTCCCTCCTGTAGTTCTTAAATGCATGCACTTTATTCATTATTATGCTATTGATATACGGATGTCAACAAGATAAACGATTACAGATAGGAGTCATTTGTTACTGTCTTATCAATAAATATTTATTTTGTATTTATTTTTATATTCATGTAGTATTTGTTAAGTGAATAATTATGTATTTTTTTAATATACGTAGGTATTTATAGATATTTATTTTAAAAAGAATAAATAAAATTTAAAAAATATTTTAATGATAATTTTTATTTATTTTAATAATTTTTTAAAAAGTAATTGTTTTATTAAATTATTCAAAATATTTATATAAAATTTTATTAATCAAGATTTTTTAATTTTAAAACCAAATTTAGTTCTTAAAGTACTTTTTATAAGATTAGATAAATTTAATATATAATTATATAATTAAATATTAAAGATTATTAAAAATATAAATATTATGATATTCATATCCATATCCATTTATCAACATGCTGATATGAAAGATACTTGTATCCGTTACCGTGAGTATTCATTTACAAATATCTATTTTTTATCTATAACAAATTTTATTCACAAATATTCATTATACATTTTTTTTTCACATCCGTATATCAGTATCTGGTGTGTCCTTCACTTACTATCTCAACAGCATAAAATGCAGTCAATTCGTCACTCTCCATCGTTACACAATTTCAACTGCATCATATAATGATTGTCGTCTCTCCTCTCCTGTAGTCGCACACTTCAAAAGCAATGATGCAACCTTATTGATGTAATGTGTTCGTCATCTCTTCACCTTGTAACAATGCATTTATCAATTACTCATTGCATGATAATGCAACATTGCTCTAGTGCATAAATCACTTGCTACAATATTTTGTAATTATAAAAATTTTATAATATATTTTTATGTATTTATAATATTTGTTTAGAGTCATATAATTCGACCTTTAATCTATGGACTTGATACTCGGATGAAAAGGCGAGAGTGATGGTGCGACACGGATGGTGTGGGGCCGAGAAATGAGAATAGAGAGGGCATACACATAGGCGTAGGTAGCAGCTACTTAGGATTTGATCTGTTTTGTGGCATTTAAGAGGCGTTTTGTTTTGGTAAGAGCGCAATAAAGGATAGGAGCGGTGAGTGTTCCATATCAGGCGTGCCCACTGCCCACCTCATCCTATCATGATGCAAATTCTGAATTTTACTGCTTTCATCTCTTCCATCAAATCCAATCAATCCTCTCCTTCTTTTGCATAATGATTCCCACCCTCTTCAATTCTTTTCACACCTCACACACAATCATCCTATTCCTACTCCTGCCACTACTGTTGCCCATATCCACCTTTCATTTTAACCACTGCGAACTTCTCCAACTACTTTTATTATTATTATTATTATTATTATTATTATTATTATTATTTTTATTTACTTTATGCGTAAAATTATATTAATCGGGATAGAGTATGAAAAATATGAAAAGTGATTCAAAAATTAGGAAAGTGAAGATAGTGGCAGAAGAGCGGAAACCTGTCGGCGAAACCCCAGACTGTCCCCACCCCTATTTATACCCAAACCCTTCACTTCACCCATTCTAACCAATCCCTTCAGCAATGCCGCCGGCCCACGCGCTCCCCATCCCCAAGCCCAAGGAGGCCCATTACAGGGGCGTCCGCAAGCGCCCCTGGGGCCGCTTCGCAGCCGAGATCCGCGATCCCTGGAAAAAGACCCGAAAGTGGCTCGGCACTTTCGACACGGCCGAGGAGGCTGCCCGGGCCTACGACGCCGCCGCCAGAACCCTCCGCGGGCCCAAGGCCAAGACCAACTTTGCCTACGTCGTGGCTCCTGAACACCAAGCCCAGGCCCAAGAGCACCTCGCCAGAGAGGTGGAGTTTTGGGGGCCGGTGAGGTCCGAGTATAAGGGCTACAAGTTGGAGAATATCGCGGATTTTGTTGTTAAGGAGAAAAAGAAGCCCTTTTTGTTCGACCTTAACCTGCCGGCGCCGCTCTTCTGACCCTGCACCCCACGACGGCTTACTGTTTTTATCTTATCATTATTATTATCATCTTTTTTGGAATTGTCTATATGAGTTATTTTGGGTGCTACTTCCTACTTCGCCCTTGTCATGTGTACAGTTTACTTTTATTTATAGGTTTTCAGCAGCATTTTCATTATTCCGGTAGAAGCTCTACTCAGTTTCAACTTCATTTAACTCTTACTCTATCGTTTCTTGCTTCCTTCCATTCTCACTCCGAATGTACGTTAATACGTCCCACAGTTGCATATGCTGCCATTCGAGGTTACATATATATCGTATGATATGATATCAACTCTAGAGTCTTCTGGGTTTTAATTTTTTTATTATTATTTTTTTCATCAACATGAGCCTACGTTGGAACGATATCTGCTTGTTCTACGGAGAGTCATTATCCATGAATAAGTTTCGGTGAAATAAATGATGAATCCGTCGTAACTTGTAACCATTAACCAGGCTACCGGGCGGAAGGAGGAAGCAAAGAAAAATGAAAGTTTTTTTTTTCTTTTTATTATTATTTGGTTTAGACAAGGACAAAATTCAGAAAAATAAAATTACAAATTAAGAGATAATGTAGACGCTGCGAAGCCCGTGTGTCATTGGCGCGCGCGTCTCTTCCCTTTTGACCGATGCTTGATTGTGATATGATTTAGCATCATTGCTGGTTTGTATAAGGGACACAAGTTTGAAAGGAATTTTTTTTTTAAGTTTTCAACTTTAGAATGTTTAATTTTTTATAACCAACACTTTTTGAAGTATTTTTCATTTATATGTTACAACAAAATAGTCATGAGTCAAAATTAAAAGAAATTGTAGTACGTAGTTAGAAAGTTTTAATTATGTTCCACCAAAATATGTTTAAGAATCTTTTAGCACACCAATCGCATAACATTCCAATAAATTATAGTTGTCGGTTAGCTTGTTGAGGAGGAACATTTAGATTTAATTTTCGCATAACACATTCCTACAAAGGATTATAAGGAGCGACAGATTAAGCTTTTCGCAGTTTGTAGGGTTACTTCATAATTCCATCCAGTAATAAAATATTCTAATCCTAATTATGTTGATTACAAAAAGGAAATATAATTCTCATTAAAAAAAGTAATTTTGTAGGGTAACTTCTAAGTCTATCGAGTAATCCTAATCCTAGTTACGATAATTACAAAAAGAAGATATAATTCTCATTAACAAAATATTCTACGTACCCAAACATTTTATTTATGTAATTCATAACGGATGGTAATGCATAATTTTTTAATTAGTACTTGCAATGCATTTTCAATTACTACTTAGTAATTTCAATAAATTATTAAACTATTTTTATAACTTTAATTTTTGCATATATTGTTGCGTTAATTTTATTCTTTCAAATGATTCAATAATAACTTTTTTTGCTTTAATTCAACATCTCTAAATGAAATTGTGTATAACATAATTTATATATTTAAAAAATGTTTATTTATCACGAATTTTAATTATAATATAATTTACATATTCACAACTATTTATTTATTATAAATTTGAGTTATATTAAATAAAAATTTATTTTATGTATTACACGCGCTACAATATTAGTTTATTAAACATATGGCAAAATGCACAGCGTTACTTTTCCCATCTAAAACATTTTTTTAATATATTCTACCATACCAAATCTACTTGAAGATGATGCCTTTACCTTAAATGAATTTATAGGTACTCTTTTTAATGTGTATGAATGTTGCAAGGTTGGGAATTTGGGATCCACATAAAACTTTAGGTGTTGGGAGATTGGGAATAGCTAAGGATTGAACTCACTTAAGGATGTATTCAATTTAGATAATTAAACTTGGTTCAAAAAAGATAGAAAAGGAGAAGGGTGAAAGAAAAAACAGGATAAATAAAAAGTAGCAAGGAAACAAGTAGATCAATAGATTGTTTAGTGTAAGAGAAATATGAAAGAAAGTATATAAAGAGAAAGAAAAGTAAATTTCTTTTTTCATTTTTTTTGGTTTAAATAGACAATTATACTTTAAAAATATAAAATTTATAAAATAATATTAATAGGAAATGAAGAGTGAATAAGGGCAAATATAAAAACAAAATTTAGATCTTTCACCACTTTCTATATATTCATCTTGTCAAAAAAATGAAAAAAGTGGGAGACTCGTTTTTTTCTTTTTTTCTTTTTGTCTAATTTTCTTTAAATCCAGAAGGTCAGTGTGATTTGATAATTTTTAAAAATATAATTTAACTTGATTAATGATAATTATAAGTGCAAATACAATTTTGTTAATAAAACAAACAACAAAAGCTTGTATTATTTTATTTGAGCAGATAGTCAAATATTCCATAGCAATTAATATGATTATTTAATATTAATCATTATTAAGTTTTTGTAAAACATTTGATTAAATTTGATACTGTAAAATGAAATGATTTTATTTTATCTAGCGTCAAATATGCATTTTGCAGAGACATTTTCTAGAGTAGAAAAATACCCTGAACCCATCCCCACATGTAATATTTTTATTTACAAATTAATCCTTCTAAGTTTCTGGACTGGTAATTGAATCATTAGAAAGATTAATATAAATAAATTAGAATATATTTACACCAAAATGGAAACTTACTTCTTGTATCCATTCCACTAGCACATTCATTGTAAAATCCCATCAAAGTCCAATATCATCTCCCAAATTATTTTACACTACAAAAAATGTTCCATATAATAACATACAAAAAGTGTTACTATAAGTATAATATATGTAGGTATATACCTATTTGACATATAGCTACATACAATTTTAGTATTGATTTTAAATGAGATTTAACAACATATTTTGTATGTCACTATAGCCTATACCCGGATCCAGAAATTTTAGATAGTGGGAGCAATACTTATTTATATATTAATAATATTAAAAATTTTACATATAATTTTTAAAAGTATAAATATATATTATAATTATTTTTTACAAGCTTTTATAATTATGATTATGATTAAGGATGAAAATAAGTTAAATTAGACTATGTTATATTATAATTTAATAGATATGGACTTAACCTTTTTTCTAAAAAAAATACATGTCCTAAAAATAACTTATTTATTTATCATAGATATTTTTTTATATGTTTGATTAAAACTACAATCCTAAAAATATACTTTATAACAATTTAATACTAATAAAAATATAAAAATAAATATATTAAATTGTATAAAAATCAAGTTTAATTTATTAATAATATAAACATGTTTTTAATATATAATATAATATTTTAGATGATAATTTATTTTAAAACATTTTATAATAAAAATTTTAAATAGAGCATAAATCTTCTAATCTTTTCTATTTTATTTTTTTTAATTAATGTATCCAATCTTACAATCTTTACTATTTTGATTTTTTTAATCAATGTATACATAAATATAAAGTACAAAA